TTTTTTTTTTTTTTTCTGGTTGCTGCTACTGTTGTTGTTGTTGTCGTTGCGTTATCATCTAATGGTGATAACGCTTCTGTAAACATTTGTCAAACAACTTCGCAGAGCAATTCTGAATATTTGATAATTCTACGTTGATTCATACATTTTTGGGTTTGATTTTTACATACATTTTTTTTACAGATAGTTTCATTCATCAGTTATTATATCATCTGTTAGTTTGTTTATTTGTTTCTTTATTTATTTATAGGTTTATTTTGAATAACTGTTTTCGTGTGGCTGTAATTTACTCGATGTGTGGAAAAGTTTATAAAGAGGCAAAGAGAAGTGAACAGCGGCAGTAGCAGCAGCAACAACAAGAACGATCATAACTGTTCAGTCATTTGGAAGCGACATATTCTGATACTGATCTATCGCAGATGAAATAAATGTTTTCTTCAGCGTTTATCAATGTTATACACTAATACTGTTTAATATATCCTACCAATCTATTTTTTAGCTTTTTTTTCTTTTTTTAATATTTATTTATTCATTCCTTTTTTTTGGCTTCATTTAATTTGATTCAGTTGAGCTTAATTGATTTTAGGCTTTCGTCGTGTTATCGATACGTATATATATACATAAGGTGAAACATTGCTGTAATCATCAAGAAAACATGCAATTAGCAGCCAGCATTTCCCGAAGATGATCAATCGGTTGAGTATACTATTACTAACAATTGCTGTTATTGGCAGCAAATCTGCATTGATCGTTAATCTACCAGGAATCAATGATTTCACACTAAGGCAGCATCATGGATACTTGAATTTTATTGCTAATTACAGCATACATTTTTGGTAATTTTTATACTTTCTATATACTTGTCTTTGAATTTTTTTTGGCAATTTTAAACTAAAATCAAAAACAACTGTTTCTGTTCACTCCAAAATGGTAAACAGATAAATTTTTGTTTGTTTTTGTTTTTGAAATATTTTTGACAGATGACCGCTAATAAATGAAACGTTAGGAAGAGAAAAATAAAGAAAAGTTGTATGAACTTTGTATTTTGTTTCCTTTCTTTTTTTTTTTTTTTTTT